TTTCCCCCCTGGGGCACAGGCGAGCAGACATACTCACTGCTGCCTCCCTGCCTCCCTCCCCTGGCTCTGGGGGCCACGGAACCCTTGTACCGAGGCACTCACTGCTGCAAGCACCATGTCTGAACAAAGCAGCCCCTTCTGCAGGAAGACTGGGAAATAAATGACCCCAGACATAATAAAGATCTTTACAGATAATTCTCTAGTCAGCCAACCTGGCTTAACCTTTTCCTTAGCAGGTTCCTCTCTACATCTCAGGGACTATTTTAACTGGGCTCATGAGATTACTGTAGTTTTCATTTTTTTAAATATATGTCCATGCTGCCTGTCATTTTTAGTTCTCCCCTGCCTAGAAGGAGAGATCTCACTGGAAAACATTGACCCCTTGTGCCAAGCTTTGCATATGAGTTTTTTAGCAGGAAAAAGGCATTTTCTGCCTCTGAGATACTGTTTGCACTATCACGGCCAGGCAGCAGTTAGCTCAAACAGCTGGCAGGAAAGCTCCAAAGTGCCAAGCACTACACAAACACACCGTTCAGGTGTGCATCCATCCAGACTTCAGCAGGGCCATGTAGCACCAGCAGAAAAAGCACCCAAGGGGTCACACCCACCGTTCACCACCATCTGCTTCAACCCCACAGAAAAACCCACTGCTCTGCTCCGGTAGGCATCAGAGCCAACACACAATGGGAATCGTCCGTCTCTAATGCCACAGTCAACAGGGGCTTAAAATAAACCTCCCAGTCCGGGGCAGCACTATAATCCAGAGGGAGGACAGACAGAACAGAAGTATCACTCATCTGATTTGCTTTGTGAAAACTAAAATTAAAGAAAACTGCAAATCCCTGAAACTTGGGAAGGGAGGGAAGAGCAGAGAAACAATTTTATGCTGGCTATTTCTAGCGGGAAGCGTGGGGAGGGGGACTATGACTCCATGTTGCACTAAAGGATAAACCTGCTCGCTCTAATCCAATTTACGCCTCAACATGCACAGCACAAAACAGGCTGAGGAACAAAAGGAGTGGCAGTTCACAGGGCAGCAGGAACGCTCTGGAGGGAGCGGTGCTAAACGATAACTTAAGGGGTTATTGAATAGATTAGCGGGAACTGCAGAGAGAACACATTTGCATCTCTTTCAGCTGCTCCAGATCAGATGTGATAGCAGCCTCTGCTCTCACAGTCATTTAATTGTTCCAAGGTTGTTGAGGGGGAAAAAGTGTCTTTTTTTTGCACTGCAGAGTTCTGGGAAGAGCTATGCTTGGCTTTAAGAGCCATCTAACATTAGGAAAAATTTTGTTCAGTCTCATAAAGCTGCTGGACTTCTGCTTTGCCTCAGTAAAAGCTCAATCTGTTCTGCTGCCTCTGCAGGGCAGATAGGAGCTCCAGGCCTTTGCATGGGGACAGACCCAGGCTACGGCTGCTCTTAGAGGTGGGTGTAGGCAGCTCCCACCCCAGACGATTACTCATGTTGCAGAATAGATTCTGCATGCGGGGAAGAGGGAAGGAGTGAGCTGTAATGCTGTGACAGCATCTGCCATGAGAAAAGCTGCACGGAAAGGTGATCCCAGGCTGCAGCTTTGCCAGGTGTGCCTCTGAGAAAGCTGTGCTTCGAGGGAAGTCAGCCCCAAAAGCATAGATTTGCCCAGAAAGGAGGTTCAGCTTACCGGGGACTCTGCTGCCAACATCACTGTCATGCCCATCTGCCGGCTGGTCGCCCTGGCAGCTCTCCGTGGCGCTGAGGGCAGCCCCCTGCTCACTGCCCAGGCTGCTGCGGCTCCCCGAGAGAGCAGGGGAGTGGGTGCTCCCCAGCACCCTGCCCATGGCCTGGCTGGGTTCCCCAATGGGTGCTGCAGGGACACAACAGAGAGGTGCTGCTGTGAGAGGGAGAAGTGGGTAGAGATGCTGGGCCAGGTCTCAAGAGAACAGCAGCCTCCCCACTCCCAGCCAGGAACCCTTAGGAATGGGGTCAAAAACTCAATTCCCATGCTTTGCTCCTAAAATGATATCAGCGATTCCAGTGCTATAAAGTCAGGAGTGAGGAGCTGGCCAGAGACGTGCTGCCAGGTGGCCAGGAGCAGCTCCCAGCTGCAAGGGCTGACCCTGAAAGGCTGCAGGCAATGGAGTGACCCACCACCAGTCTGACCCATTTGATACTATTCCAGTGAGAAAGGACCAGATCCTCACCTGCTACAGCTAAAGCCAGTGGGCTGCACCCGTGTAGGACTAGCAAGTGGCTGAGCCAAAACCCACAGTACCAAGAGCCAAACGTTCAAGCACTTTACACTTCCCACCCTCCAGCCACAAGGAACAGCAACTCCTCACCCAGTCCTGCTCGGTGCTTTCTGCTTTGTGAGCCTTTTGACCCCGCAGGTAAAGGCTTGTCATCCAGGCTGGAGGAACTGAACTCCGAGTCGCTCTCACTGTCGCTAGAAACCACTGCAGAAAAGATCGGGGGGAGGAGAGGAGAGAGACAGTTATTCACAATGTTCATAACACTTACCAAAGAGGGTGCCAGATGGATCCAAATAAAACATGAACAAATGCTGACTCGCTGATCACATTCTCCTCCAGAAGGAACCCTACCTGCAGTTCCCCTACAGCTGTTCACTTTTCCTCTCAAACATGATGTGCTTTTACTTTTTACAGATGATTTATAACTCTGCTGCACACACTCCAGTGGTGCCAGTACCTGAAGCAGATGCACGCACCACCAGTGCTTTTCTCCTAAACCTGACTGGGACTATGGAGACCACACTGCTCCTGTGCTGCGCTTTGCTGCCCAAAGCTCCCTACCACAAAGCCAAGAGCCCTGCAGCATGGCTGGCCTGGGAGCCAGGCTCTGCTTCCACTGACCCCAGTGCTGGCACACCAGCGAGCCTCCTCCTCCTGCCGTTTGCCATCTCCCACGTGGGAGCAATCAGCTAAGGGCTGGGCTGGGTGCAAGGCTGGTTCCTGCACAGATGCAGGAGGAGCAGTCCTGGCTCCACCATAAGAGCATCCACATTTGAGTAATGTGGGGAGAGGGGCTGGCTTCCTCCAAGCCACATTTCAAGTGCAGCAGGGCCTCTGTGGAGGCTCCGGGATCTGAGAGCAAAACAACAGATAAATATTGAGCACATCAAATAAAAAACCCTGCAGTGATTACACAAAGAACCAGCCTTATTAGCTCATTGTCCATTCAGCAGACACTCATCCCTATCAGTACACTACCCAGAACTACATTACTCCTATGCCCCTAAGACAAGCATTGCTCCTCTTTCTCAAGGAGACTCTTCCCCCCATTTCAAGGCTACTTTTTTTCCTTCATTTTTCCCCCCTGAATCCTGGCCCTAATCCTGCTGCTTTCCACCCTCCATAGTTTCCACAAGAGCTGAAGGAGTCTCATTTTGCCAGACACAACTTCCCACATTGGCAGGTTGTTTCCACTTTTCCATGCAATTATGCAAGTACCTCTCCTGCTTATACCAGTGTAAAAGATAACTGCCAGCTGCTCTGGGTAAAATGAGAAAGGTGTTTTTTCCATCTCCTGGGTTTCTGTAATGATCTGATCTCAGAATAGGAATGATGGGGCTGAGGAGGAAGGTAACGGGGAAACAGGTGTCTTTTGTTTGAGGGATCGCACCTAGAGCATTTCTCCATCTCACCAAGGCAGGCACCAGCTCTCCTGGCAGTTCAGAAGCCATTTCAAACAGCAGGTCACAATTCCTGGTGCAAAGGACAATATTGGCTCATGTGGGACAGAAAGTAGGCAACGTTGCAACTTAGAGCCTCCACTGTAGAAAAAGAAAGCCCCAACCATTTCTTTATACTAATGAGTATGTACTTATAAGCTCATATTTATACAAGAAGGGAGTTCCCCGTTCGAACCCCTTTGCTCCCGCACTGCTACTCATAGTGCCCAGCCTCATGGTGCTGCTGGGCACAGGAGGGATGTGGGTGCAGTGGTACAAGGCGACAACCATGGAATAGCAAAGAGAGCTGTTCAGTTCATCTCTCTACATCAGCACTAAAATTCACCGCATGTGGTTTGCAGAGCTACAAACCCTTTAATGCTGCCCCGGGCAGGAGGACGGGTATCCCTCCCCTTGCAAAGCTGAGCACAAGCTGTCAAACATTTCTGCCAAGCACCTCTGCAGATGCTCCTGTATTCAGGCAGTGATCTGTAGTACACAAAATATTTTATTAAAAAAAAAAATTAATACCTAAAATACCACTTTTTTGGAGTTAACATCTCTGAGGATATTAAAGCTGGCTGCCAGTGTTATTGCAAAGTGTTATTGAAGTTGCCCTGGCAGGCAGCTTCCCGTGCACGCCATGCTGCTGGGAAGTGCTGCGCAGAAGGCAGGCTGCCAGGCCCCCCCCTTGCTGCCCACGCAGCTTTGCCCCCGGACACCAGCTCTTCCTGCGCCTGCAGCCTTCTCCTCCCGGCACCATCAGAAATGGGACCGCTCATCTGTGGGGAAAGGGGCTGTGGGGCTGAGCTGGGCAGAGCTCCCCGTTACAAGGAGGGAGGCTGCACTTCTGTCTAAAGTTCTCAAAGCAAAGGTTTGGCTTTGGGCTCTGCTGTCTTAAAAAGAGCTTCACTACTTCCCCAAAACTCCCTGGGAGAGGTGGGGGACTATATATAAATACGATTAATAACAACCCATACATACCAGGCTCTTTGCTACAAAATCCAAATCTCAGCTGTGAGAATCATTCTGACCGTCCCATTGCCCAATTCCCTCAGCAAATGCACTCCTGTCCCACTTGGTCTTCATACTATTTTGGCCTCTTGGATTCATAAAATCCATCACTTTAGAACAGCTCCTTCCTCCATGAATCCTTTACAAATGCTGGAAGTCAGGATTTATTTGGAGAAGGCCCCAGTGAATCAGTGGAGGTGACTTTAGCTGCCTTCCCTTCTGCCATTCACCAGTTCAGAGAGGACCAGCACAAGAGGAGGAAAATATTAATGACATGAAGGCACTCACACCACAGGAGCAGCCCTGTCTGCTCTCATTTCCTCTGCTGCCAAGAAGAGTGTATTTTAGCCACTGCACCAATGTTTCCCTTTAAGGTAATTTTTCTCCCAAAGCTCCCAGACCTTCTGCTGGCACTTTCCACATCCCAGAAGTCGTAAATCTGGTGTTCCAGCAGTTGCTGATATATCAATAAGAGTTGTTGGACGGCTGTACTTTCAGAGAACATAACAGATTTATCCCTCTCCATCTCCAGCTGACTGGAAAAAAGCTCATTAAAAAAAAATATGCTGAGATAAAACTTGCAAGAAAAGCAGTATTCCCCCAGGGAATGGGTCACTCATTGAGGGCCTGAACCTCCACAGCTGCTGCTGGAGCCCACAATCCTTCTGACACGTGGTTCAACCTGCGAGCCAGAGGTACCACAAAGAGCCGCAGGGAACAGTGGAGGGCTGCCGGGCTGTACTTAATCCCAGCAGCAGAGGATGTGGGGAGGCTGTGCTGAGATGAAGGGGAAAGGAGCACTTGGCTGGAGTTGAGCTCTAATATTAAATGCATTCATTTGGCAGGGGCACACCTGCGATGGGAAGAGCCAGCCATGCTCCCTCCCGCTGCCCATCGCAGGGCAGAGCTCAGTCCCTGCACGCACAAAGCCTGGCACTTCTTGCAGCTGCCAAAAATACAGAAAAAACACATGGGCACGCATGGGCACCCTGCAGCAACAGCTCCAAACAGCCGCACATGCCCAGCGCAGCCACGATGTGCTGGATGAGCAGGCTGAGCACAAGCCCTTGAGCGCACGGCTCCTCTGCAGCACCCGTATCATCAGACTTTGCAAACATGACCTCTAGGGAGGGGGGAGGCCGACAGCTCCCGGTCACTGTGGATGGGAGGGTCAGAGATGGAGTGTTTTATTACAACCCAAGTGTCTCACCGTGTGCAGCTCCCACACTAGATCACACCCAGCGCTGCCCCCAGTTGCAGGGACATCTCCCAGTAGGAGGAGGGGACTGGACCCATCTGCTCTGCCCTTCAGAAACAGCACACGTGCAGCTTCAATGCTGCCCAAACATGTAGAGAAATTGGATGACTCCTTGGTGGCCTGCAAAGTGCTTGACCTGCCCCAGCACACTCCTCTCTGCTCCATCACTTGGGGATTTGGCCTCCAGCATGCAGACAGCAGATGAACCTGCTGCATCCCCCTTGCCCAGCCACTGCTCCTGTGCCTCCGACAGCGCTGAGCGCAGCATGTTGCATTGCTTGGCAACAGGACTGGAGCACATTGCAACAGGAGAAACCACCAGAGACCGAGCAGAGCAGCAGGCAGCCCTCATGCCAAACAGTGCAATACCTCAGGGATCACACTTCTTTTTTCCACCCAGTTGCTTCACATTTTTTTCTGCAGAACTCAGAGTTCAGAGGAAGGAAAACCCTGCTGCTTATTGCTCCCCACCCCCTGATGGCCCCATCCCGCCTGACCCGGTGCAGAAACCCACCCACATTCCACCACATGGAGCAAAGCTGCTCCCCAGCACAAGAAATATTACTGCTATTCTCCCCATGACAATACATTTGTGCCTTAACTAATAGCAGGGTTTCCATGGCAACTGCTTGTTTATTACAGAAAAACTAAAGGCAACGGCAAATCCCAGTGTCAGCAAGCGCGAGAGAAATAATGGGTGTGTAAAAATAAAACTTCTTACTGGTGGCTTTGGCATTTCTTTCCAGAGACACGTTCCTACAGTCTCTCAGTCCTGCTGCCTTCCCACCCTCCTGCAGCAGGTACAGACAGACTGGCTGGTACCCAGGGCCTGGCATTGATCCCTTCCTTTGCAGGGGAAAAGGGACACTTGAGGTTTGCCACATTCCTTCTGAAAGGCAAGTCCTGGCATGGACAATGTTGAAGGGACAACTGCGGCTCCTCTCTCCCAGGCACTCCAGGGGCTGTGCTGGGACATGGCTGTGCCTGTGCTGGTCCCACCTGACTTGAATCCCTTAATAGCTGAGAGACAGCTCCTTCAGTACCTCGGGAGGCAAGCGGTGGGGTTAGACACGGCTGGCCAAGATAACAGAAACCCCACTGACAGCAGCCTGTCAGAGTCAGGCACATTAAATGCCAGAGATCGTTCTCGAGAACATCCTGCCGAACAAGCAACAGGGCTTTACTCAGCGCCGAGAGGACGTGTTCAGATGAGGGCGTACAAGGTGCAAGCTGACAAATGCTATCAGCCAGGCAGAGGTAAGGCAGGCTGCCTTGTCAGCCACGGCCTCGTAAAGCTCAGTCCATGCCCAGTCACAGATTCATGCCGGCAGTATCACAGCTACATCATCCCCATGGGGGAAGGCGGCTGCCCTGCACATTGCAGAGGTTTCAAATGACAAACAGCAGAAGTCCCAGTACTGGCACGTGAAAAAAGAGTTAAACAGAGGGGTGAGATGTACAAGCTCCCAGCTTCAGAGATGAATTACAGCCTGCAATGCCCATTGAAAGCTGTCCAGAGGACAGCTAACAGAGAAGGGCAACAAGGAAAGAAAGCACCAGAAAACAAAACTATAAATTAATATTATCCAACCCATAAAACAGCAGCCAGCCAAAAATCAGAGTACAGGGAGAAAGGCAGCTCACCACCCACATCAAAGCTTACCAAAGGCCACTTTGCTGCCATCCACCTGCTCCTTTGCTGCTCCTGCCAGTATTTAGGGGGAGGCCTTCTCCCAAAACAAAACTCAGCTAAAAAGCTGAACTAAAAAGCAGGCCAGGTCTGGGCTTAACATCTTTGACTCAATGTTTTCTGTATCAAGCAAACAGAAAATACCTCATCAATCAGTTCATTTGCTAAGACAACTCCTTCCAAGCATCTCCTGGAGGGAAGCACAACCATCTATTGTTGATCTAATTTGTCTTTAATTACAAAAGTTACAGTAGGGCTGGGAGTGCTTTCCTAACTGGGGCCTGAAGAGAAGGTTTGTAAACCTGACTCTCCTGAGTCCTCTTTATTAAAAGGTTATTTCCCTCTGCACTACTGATAAGATTTATCTTGATGTAGAAGACGGTATGCTGCTGATACACTGAAGAGGTCTTCTCCAATTGAGGGGATTAATAGCAAAAGACAGAAGGGGAGAGAGGCCGGACAGTTCTGCTAATCCACACCAGAAAGAAATTAAGAGAAATCAAAGCGGACTGGCAGCAGCTTTCATTCTGCAGCATCCATCCACTGCTGTGCTATTGACCCTGAGTGCTCTGTTCCTCGATGCTGAGCTGCTGGCTCCAGGCACAGCACTGGAGTGGGCATACGAGCAACGACAGGGTGGGCAGGTGGAAGGCGGGGGGGGGAAAAGCCCTACAAGGCAGTGCTGTGAATGGGATCTGATGTGGCAGCAATCCAAGATGCCACATGTGATACAACAGTCTACTTCAGTCAAGGTCTACCTCAAAGAACAGGGATGTGAGTGCTGAAGCTTGTAAATCTTCAGGTTTGGAAGCGCTCTGGCCCCAGCCCTGCACAGGGCTAAGTTAATCAACAGCTTCTCTGAGACACAGTTAAAGAACAACTCAGCCCTGAGCTCTCCATGCTGCAAACCTCAGCCCCAAGGCCTGGGGAAGAAGCTTCACCCTTTGCTGGTCTCACCTGCTCAGGGGTGTCAGGCAGAAATGGACACAGCCAGCACCAGCTCACTCCTGCCCACTGACTGTAGAAGACTATGTCTGCCCACTTGCTCCAGGCCCCCAGAAGACCCCAGGGAGATGCTGGGGGTGTCATTTCTAACCTCAGCTCAAAGCAACTTGAGGGTTCTGCCCAATGGTGCTCTGTGAAGCAGCAGAAGCAAGGAGGAAGCAGCCCCAAGGAGGGAGGGAATGAGATCAGCCTTTTGTCAGCTGTGGCTGAG